TAGAAAAGTGGTCTTTCAAAAGTTAAAGACTAAAGCATAGTTGAAGATAAATCAGTCTAATAGATCTTCTTTTAATAACAGAATTATTCAAACTATTAGAGGCTGTATTGTTGTTATGCTAGTAATTGTAAATAAAATTATGATTGAAATAGCAAAAATAAGCTCACAATTTCAGCCAATTCTGTCACGTCTGCGACACCATCAAAGAAGAAGCACATAAAGGAACAAGCGAATTGAAGCAGTATGTGTTCAATGAGGGATCGGAGAAGTGCGATACGACAGAAGATCGACAGACACTTCGATTTAAGGTGATCAGTATATACAAGCTATTTCCAAAGCCAATATCCTAATCCGCTTAAGCAAAAAAGGTTTATTCAATTTTACCTAAGATGACACAAAATCAAATTTCCGAGAATTTTTATGACTGTTTGTGGTAAGAAGATTTAAGTTACATTTTCCCAAAAACAATATATCCTAGACAAGAAAAAAATAATTCTAAAAAATTTCTGCAAAACATAGGAGATAAACGGAAATTGTAATTACATTCATGATACCGTATGAATTAGCGTAACAAGGCAATCAATTATTGATTTTTTAAAGATGTGTGCACCATCACGTCGCGAGCTCAACGAGAAACATGGCGATGCTCGTGACAAGTTACAAGAATACTGGAATTATCTCAAACAGGTATTGAGATGGTCTACGCACACGGATCAAACTAATCAGATCTGCTGCGCGAGTCGCGCTACTTTATCCTAGAAATATGAATTAGCTCATTTGTTTAGGGTATTTTAACGGCTGTAGTGCATGTAATGGACCGTTCGGAGCTGGAAAATTCGAAACGTAAACAATGTCAGACAATGTGCAACACCTTTACGAATAAAAGGGGAATCAGTAATACTTACCGAGTATGTTTGGTCTTAGTATAGCCAAAGAAAGATAAATACCAGACTTGGGCAAAATCTAAATTCATTTTTGCAGAACACACTGCTTAAATCGATCGAATCCTTGTGTACCCCAAAGGACCAGTACGCTGCATGCGTCTATCACACCGTGAAATTTGACATTAATGGAGACTTTTAGTATTCGTAAGCTGCCGGATCTCAACAAATTATAACTTTAAATTTTATTGCAAGATCATGAAG